TTATGATAATGAGCATTTCTATTAAGCCAGTCGCGTTCTCTTCATAAGAGTAGCTATAAAGAGGTGGTTTTGTAATTAACATATTTTCAGTAGTTTACTTTAATGTAACTGTTCTAGTCGTCTGTCTGAATTTAAGTCTGATCAAGTATATTTTTCTATTGGGTATATATTTGATGAACAGATTGTATTCCCGGGGGAGCAAACATTGAACAACCTCCTCATTGAACCGGAATATTTCACACGACTTTACTTCTAATTCAAAAACAATAAATGGACTTTTGAAATAAATTTCTTCGAACAGACAGCGACCTAAGTTATACCCGCCTTGAGTTAGCTACGTACTGCTGTGGAAAGAGCAGTGATATCTGCGAGCATGTTGAAATGTGGGGTTACGGAAAACCCGTGGAAAACAATTGCATCTACGGAAATGATATACGCTCGGAAACTCATCCTGTCTAGATATGAACATGACGAAGTGCGGAGTCAGATTAAAGACAGTCTGACAAAAAGCCTACGCACTGATCGTGAACAGAAGAAGCAAAAGAGATAGAAAAGGCGGCAGCAATAGGCAACAGTAGACAACTGTTCAGACTTATCAAGGGACTCTGTACTAGAAATCTGGCTGTTATCGAAACTATCTAATAAAATAATGGTTGTATTATCCATTCTCAACCCAGGAGATTGGATCGATGGGCAGAAGACTTCAGGGATCAATTTAACTGGCCTTTAGCCACACTTCGGTTGCTCACGATTTCCAGTCATTCTGAATAGAAAATCGATATGCTTCCTCCAACTCTTTATAAAGTTGAGAAAGCTATGGGAAATATGAAGCGAGTAAGAGTAGAAGTCTTTGATGTGCTTACCTCGCAGGAAGGCGGTTTAGTTTTAGCAATAATCTGAAAACCGAAAGTTATCCTATCCGACTGAAAGCAATTACTGTTTGCCCGGTCTATAAGAGAGGACAAAAATCCTCTTGTGACAATCACAGGGGAATTAGTCTAACTAATATAGTATCTAAAATATTGGCCTCAGTAATACTGCGACGCTAATCAAAAGCTTGTGAGGAGCAGACTAGAGAAAATCAGGCTTGTTTCAGACCTAGATGTGGTTTTATAGACCACATTTTTACACTAAGTCAGGTCCTAGAACAAAGGCACGTTCAGACGCCCCACAATAGTATTATTTCTCGACCTCAAAACGGCATCCGACTGCGTTGATCGTGAAGTTCTGTGGTATTGTCTGTCATTAAAAGATGTACCAAAGGAGTGTGTTAACCTTAAACAAGCCCTCTACTAGAAGAAGACTTGTGAGAGCGAATGGCGAACTGTCAGTGGAATTCGTTACCTCAAATAGTGCCCGTCAGGGCTGTTCCCTCTCTTAATTATTCTTTACCCTTGTCACCGACGTCTTTTTAAAGATGACACTGTGCAGACGTACAAATAGTCTTCTGGTATAGAAAAAGTAGGGTCACAGTTGTCGTACCTTAGTCGTATCCAAAAAAAGTATTTGTTGAGTCATGGATCGGTTTCGAATAAGAATATCTTCTGTATTGCTGCTTGCCCTTCTATCGTTCTCTCAATTCTTCAGGACCTCATCCTACGCATTGAATATTAACCTTGATATTGCCGCAAAGTTGGTTGCTCTAGCCAGGAGCCAGTCAAATTATTCCCTCATGAAGCTCAACAAGAAGATAAACACACACTTATCTCACGACTTCTTGACACATGTAGGCCTGAATCTAACTCGTAATGATTCTCAACCAGCAGATTTTTGTTTCTACAAAAATGATAATCTCGCATCAACTACTTGTTCGCACACTCCAGAGTCTGAATCAGTTATAATTTTGTATCAAAAACATTCGCTGTCTGTGAAAAGCCATTGTATCTTGTGAAATATTTATTTTATTGAAGGGATTTCCCAGCCCTTTCAAGCACAAAGGTCAGGAAATGTAAGTTGACTGAGGCAACACTGAAACTATCACACCCATGGTTTGATCAAATGCCCTTAGTCGGATATTTTAGCACTCCATTTTAGCAAACAGAATGGGACTCCCATAGGTTGGTTCCAGAAAGGAGCCGTTGCAACTACTGTACGTTCTGTGCTGATTGATCTTGTATGCAGGAGGTAATAGCCATGGCTCAGTCATGTTAATTATGCTCTTAATAGAAATACTCAGGCTGGATGCAAGTAAGCCCTACCTTTGCTACAATAGGATAGATTACAAATATGTGGGAGGGCATCTTCTACATGCACCATAGACACGGGAACGGTGTAGTCTAGCAGTAGATGGCCACCGGCAGACAGTAGGTGACATGCTCTCCTACACGACGCGCCTCAGACTAATCACCTACCTGAAAAGAGAAAAACATGGATTAAGTATGGCACAGAACAGGGGAAAAAGAGAGCCTAGCACGGCAAGGAAGGTCTCTTAAATGATTACTGCCGTACTTGGCATTGAGAAACAGATGCAAAGCCAATGCCTGAAGTGGCAACAGAGACAGTCAGAAGAAGTTAGCAGCCAAGAGATAGACAAACACAACATATTTGTTGAGGTTCATTGCAAAAGGAAAACCTAATAATCAGGATTTTTCGTACTCAAAGGTCAAAACGTCGAAAATCTTGCCAACCTAGAGATGACTGAGATCCTTAAAACCAACTTCTTTGATCAGTTAAACCAAGTACCTGGACGTTCAGAGTACTAAACAAACCTAGTGTCAGCTGACGGTTTAGGGGATATGTGACTTCCCCTGACTCAGTGGAGACAAAACTAAAATTCTTGTGCCCAGAAGAGTGATCAGGATGTAACAATATTCGCCCCATACTCTTGAGACAGTGTGCAGAAACTCTCAGTTCACCAATATGTGACGTTTTGAGAACGGAATCCTCCATAAAGCCCAATATGGGTTTCGGAAAGGTAGGTCATACGCATCCAATCTTCTCAAAGCATGGGACAACTGAACAACCGGCTGGGACCGAAAAATACTGGCTCATATAGTTCTCTTTGAAGCTTAAGAACCTTTCGAAATAGAACTCAGCTCAGCCCTAACAGCGAAGGTCGCAAACATGGGCTTTACTGACCTACTTCTCTTCATCATTGACGTGTTATATAAAATTGGCCAAGTAGCACTGATAATAATAACCTGTGAAAATGACGCAAAGTTCATGAGGTCCATTAGGAGTGAAGAAGATTCAAATGAGTTTCAAAAGTGCCTTATATCGATTCAGGAATGGGGAGTGAAAAACTGTTGCAAACTAAACCAGTCTAACTGTTACAAACGTCATACACGCTTGACCCAAGTCCACCCCAAAATGTATCCACGGAATGCCACCACCCCTGAATTGTTCTCGACGTTGTTTAGGGCATATGCGCACCCATACCTTTAAGTTCACGTCTTCGAACCATCTTTCCTTAAAAGAGACATTATTCTCTTGTATCGGGCGCAGAGATGAATAACGAAATGGGTGATAGGGTTGAACAACAAAACTTACGAAGATAGACTCCAGCACTTGGGATTATTCCCCGTGCGTTAAAATATAATCAGAGGTGATCTGATTATGGCGTACAAAATATTAAGCACACCAAACCATCCCAACATGCGGATCTTACCGATACATCACAACCGTGCTCGTCGAGGTAATCCTCGAAAAATTGCGCATCAAGGAACAAACAATCAGTCTCTTGCGCAGTTTTTCTCATTAGGAGTCGTTGCAACTTGGAATGCTCTCTCAGCTGAGGTGAACACAGCCCCCTCAGTGAACAGCTTTGAGAAGAGACTTGACAGACATGTATCTACATACGGATTATCATCTCCTTCCTGGACCTGCTGTGTTCTATTGATGTCTCGAAAGTTGACTGTCGTTAGTAACGACAGTTACTAACGACGACCAACTTCATCTATTATTATTTCTGTTTCCTTTCTCTTACTTACACTTTGGTCTTCTCGTGCGTTCTTCACTACCAAGTAATATACTCACTTGTCCATTTATTTACTTAGTTATGAAATCTTCATATTCTCTAATTTGCAACTAACTGACATCCGTCCTGGTATCCTGACCGTCACTGTAGAATGAGTCAGTATAGACAATTATATTAAACCAACACGGGCTTTTATGGATCAGATAGTTAAATTACGAAAACTCCACGGTGTGTAAAACAGCCTAATATTGTACTTACCTACAGTTGTACCGATTATTGTTTAGTCCTAAGTCCATCAGCCAACTGACTTACGACTAAGTTACACAGGGAGGTTAATTATTATGCTGTCATGACAATGCATTGGCTTAGTTGAATAAACACTCCTAACAGACAGAATTATAAACTGGTATTAACAATTTACAGATATGAAAAGTCCATCCAATACTACATGCGTCTATCCCCGGTATGCAACTGTTTGATGTTAGTTATCCTTAACCTAGAGGGAAGTCAGTGAGATGTTCGAAATTTAGTGACTGAATAAAACATGAGAACTCACTGGCTGTACTCAATGGGCACAGTAGTACATTTATTAATGCTTTCCAGTTTTTCTCAGGTCAAGAGCTATGTTTAATGATTCTAGCGCAGACCCAATTTCCCTACATTAGTTAATCAAACGCCAGTCGAGTGTTACTTGTAGTGAAGTAACAGCAACCCCACAGAAACCCACATATTAGCCGAGATTGATGTATTCCAGTGGCTGAAATTTCCTCACTGAAGACTTCTTAAGCCTCGTAGCGAAATTGTTATTGACATAACGAGACCTCTAATTAACAGCTGTTTATTAGGGAAAAAGAAATTTATAAGACTAAGACCAGGCACGGATGTAAGTAGTCCGAACAGGAGATCAGAATTTAGCTTTTTATTTCGAACCAGATACTTTTAAGGGGCTTGCAGTCAAGTAGCGAATAGATGTTAGAGTATTTCGCGCCCAGATTTGAGATTAATCTTTTTGTAAGTCTAAAGATTGTAGTCCCATCAGGCTAGCAATTGAATCTCATATTGAAAAATGAGTGCATAAAATCTAATCATATTCGCCATAAAAATTTCGAACATCTTGTATATTGAATAGACTAGAATGAAGTTTCGGATTACCGCGGTCTCATACCGCGCATTCGCGAATATTTTTACTCGGCTGGACAAATGGCCTTAAAGCGTTTAACCAAGGTAAAAACGCATTGAGTTTTTATGTAAATAACATTTTTCTTCCTCAGGAGCTACAGGATTTTTCTTTAGATCCTCCAGCTCAGTGTTCAGCTGGACCTGTTGGTGCTGATCGTAAGTCATTAATTGTTGTCTCAGTTTATATTTAGTATTTACCTGGCAAGCAACTATTATGGGACCTGTACGTTCTTTTATTCTGTAATTATGCACCCATAGGCCGACAGTCCATATGAAGGTGGAGTTTTCTACTTGAGTATATTATTTCCTACAGACTACCCATTCAAACCTCCTAAGGTAAGCGTAGTATGATTTCCTGGCTTATCTTAATCAAAGATCAACTTCAATACAAAGATATATCATCCAAATATAAATACCAATGGCAGTATATGTTTAGATATCCTCCGAGGCCAGTGGTCTCCCGCTCTTACAATATCAAAAGGTATTCAGTCGTATATAAATATTAAATTTATGTCTAAATTAGTTCTGCTTTCAATTTGCTCGTTACTGACAGACCCCAATCCAGATGATCCTCTATGCCCAGACGTTGCACGTCAATACAAAGCAGACCGTAAAAAATATGATGATTTAGCCAGGGAGTGGACACAAAAGTATGCTATGTGAGAACGAAGCCAGTTATTCTACACAAAACATTTTGATAAACGTATTTTCTGCCTCCTTCTTGTACTCACTGATGACGTACGTGTTATATCAAATGTCGGTCAATTTGTTTCAGCCCTTGAGTAACTACTTTCTTATTCAATTTCTACTGGTCTGTCAGTTGTGTGTCTGTGAAAACTTTCTTAAGTTTGTTTTTAGTGACACTTGTCGGTACAGACTGCTTCACCTAAAAATTTTCTACTTGTTTCAACATTTAATTGTATCAATTCACTTCATGGAATTTCATTTCTTGGGCGATTAATGCTCGTGATACTCATCATCTAATCTAGTAGTCTGTTAATATTTGATCAAAGCTATTAAAACTTGTATTTATCCAAGCGGTTGCTTTAAGCAACAGTTTCATTTCATGTTGGGAATGAGACCATATCAATTTGACTGTCAAATTGTACATGAATCCGTCCTTTATGTTCAGCAGTGTGTTTGTTCGTGTTAAGATATTTATTTTCGTTGGGTTAATACGATTTCGGGGTTGTATAGGGTTTTCTACTGATGTTCTAAGTGTCCAGTTACGTTATCTCACGTCGATCTTAACGCCGTCTCTGTCTGACTGTCGTTGGCTAACGAGAGAGGGGTTAACTCATAATGACTGCTGTGTACATTGCTAATGTAAACCGATATAGCAAAGCAAACCAACTGATGACTTAGTTCATTCTCGGTCCACAATTTCACTCCTAAAGGCTGAAAATATTGTAGTCCCGAAGCACTTGTCGCGTATGATTTAGTGAGAACTAGTTCAAAGGATTGGTACTAGAAAGCCTTATTTGTTGGTATCGGTCTTACAATGTGTAGTTGTGAGTAGACGTTTGTAGGCTTGTGGATATATGCGACTGGTGTCCTTATTCGATAGTGTAGGCCGTAATGGTACTTGATTGTGATAGTACTACTGACTAGTAGTCTCTCTTATTCTCATCACTTCTTAGTTTCTGCATGGTTTTTAACCTTGAAATGTATCTGTTGCCACTCATAATATGCATTTGGTTAAATAAATCTGACAGATATGTTGAGATACTTGAGCCCAAACTGATCATCCGTTTCGGTCGGAACTCGAAACTTGTAATTTTATTGTAGTTGTGCCACATATCTGTCATTATGTCATTATGTCATCTGTCTGCAGCTTCCTAAACGTTTCAACTCGACAGGTCAACTTAGCACAGTCTTCGGTCTTCTGAAAATGAATTAACTAGTGTCTTCACGTTAATTGTTGATACGTTTATTTTTGAAGTAGATGCAGACATAACTTCCAGGGCACTGTTGAAACTAAGTAGACACAGTTTGGTCTTAACAGTATGCATGGAGTAAGCAGTTTTCTCCGGTCTACTGTTTTTTCCTTAGATTTTGATTGTTATATATTAACCGTTCAGCTTCTGGCTTTATAAAATGCACAATCAAATTCTAGGGACCGTATATCTCTAATCTGGTTTAGTTTAATAGTTTGCCAGTGATGGTTTCTCGTACATACTAAGTAATTGATGTATGTAAAGACATAGAAAAGACCTTTGTCATGCATAACTGGATGAAGATTTAGCACTAATGGATCAACGTTCTGTCCTGGTCTGGTCGTCCCAAAGGACGTTGTTTAGTTGTAGAACTGCTCATAATGTTACATTCCTGAGTTTCCCTCTTTACTTTGGTATGGGGGAGTGTGGAACCCGACCGTGTCTGCTACCTTGATGTGTTAGTCGGGTTCGCTTATCGTGATGACCCAGCGGAGCCATATTGTCTGGGACATATGTTGCTGTAGTTTCTACTATGCCAGGCAGGTCGATTGAAGGAAGGTGAGATTAAAAGCATCAACTCAAGGTCTGAGGGTGAGGTCGTACTACTGACTGTAGAGACAACCGGCATATGCAGCGATGCTGCCTTCTCACAAGAAAGAAAGGGTTTACAAAAGTTCGACCCTAAAAATGTCACGCCTCACCTTACAGATTTCCGTCTCCAGCGTCAAGGCCACTTAAAGAGTGGAGCTAACACTGGAAATTTCCGTCAAAAAGGGCGTGCGCGACCGGCTTCAAGCAGTTGTACTTTGGGCCCTGTGGTCACGCTCCCGGGTGTCTAAGACCGCCGCTAATCCGAAATCTTTTTCTGGTTCCTCAAGAAGCACCCTTGGTGTGGGCAGCCGGGAAGTGACGTCCGTCCTCATGCCCTTAACAGCCTCCGAGACCAAATTGGTCACAATCGAATCCTTCCTACACCCCCTAACATCTCTCTTATTTCCACGACTAACCCTTTTCACCCCACACTGCTGATATAGATGTTTTGAGTACACGAAAAAAACCAACTAGGTTTACGCTCAATGTATCTGGAAGCCTTGCTCTACCTATCCTCGCTGGTGTAGGTGTAGCATAGCTCTCTTATACGGGATCCCAGTAGATAGTCACTTGGGTACTTTTCCGAATTAACGGGACAGTAAGGACTCGGTAAGATAGACACTCGCTGTCAAATCTTCGTTGTCCCTACCTAGAATTCTTCAGATTGCAGTTCAGACGTAGTAAAAGATGAGCTTTACAGAAAGTTAGGCGCTCTGAAATAGTAGTAGTGGCCGGTGACTTTAATACTCAGGTAGGTAAACTAAGTGAATAGGAGAGATCTTATGGTGCCACAGCTGATCAAACAGATGATGGCGAACGTCTGGTACAGCTATGCTCAGATAACGCTTATTCCTGGCAAATACTAACTAAGCACAAGGGGGAGTATCTTTTTACCTCGCCGCCTTTAAAATCGACTCAACACTGGACCCGACAACACCACACTGCCATCAGCCACCGATGGAGGGAATCGATCGAAAACTGTTGCTCGTTTTAGGCTGCCGTGTTTAGATTCAGATGATGCTTTGATGTGAGTGCGTATTTTTCTGCAGTTTAACGGACGTAGGAAAGACATCACATAGAAACCTCTTTTGGTTCTACCCTATGATAGCATAGTTAACAATATATTCCAGGAGCAACTAGAAAAACACCTAGGCGGCCATGTGAGTGATTCCTACCCCGAGACAGCTTTGAACGATATTCGAAACGCTGCGGAGGCCCGTTATATCTACTAGTAAGTTAAACCATAAAGTTAGGAAGAAGCCTTGGCTTTTGCCAACTTGCGTCACTTATGGCGTGTACGAGATATCCGTTTACTAACCAAAGGACGAGTGTACTGCGTAGCAGTTCTCTCCGTCCAACTTTATGGCTGCGAAACATGTCCAGTCTGATTAGAGAATACACATAGGTGACGATTTTGATCATAAGTGTCTTCGAAGCATTGCTCGTATATCATGGAGCCACTGAGTAAGTGATGCTCTTGTTAGGAAACGTGTACAAAGTAAGGATGACAGATCAATAGATGAAGTATTGGAACTTCATCAGCTGAGATTGTTGGGCATTCGTAACATGTCCCAACCACCGACTGCCTTGTCGAGCTATGTTTTGTGGTGTACGGGTAGGGTGGAAGGAAGCTAGAGGCGGCTTGGAACCAGACCGAACGATGGCACAAGTCCATAACGGCAACTGGACGGAGTCGTGTTGGCTGTTGTAGACTGCCTGAGTCCGCGATACTATAGTGACCGATGGTTAGAGACCTTGAATGAAATGGCTCAGAATAGTTTCCGATAGCGCAGATGCAGCCATTCTTTTCTTCTCTCATATTCTATTCAAGTCCGTTTTTTCCCTATTTTTTTAAAATTGATTGCTTGAGGATATACTTTTCATATGATATCTTCGATTCTTGATCTCTCGACGTAAGCCCTTCGAATCTTTATGAAGTTGAAAAAGCTATAGGTAATCTGAAGCGAGGGAGAGCAGCAGGACTTAATAAATTGACCCCTGAGAATTTTAAGGATGGTGGTCCAGTTTTAACAGTTAAACTAACTAAGATCTTAGGTAGAATCTGGGAACTGGGCTTAATCCCATCTGACAGGTCTCAGTCGCTAATTGTCCCAATTTACAAGAAAAGACAAATGTCCTGTTGTGACGATCACAGTGGAATAAGTCTAACTATTTTAGTATCTAAAATATTGGCCTCAATAATACTCCGACGCTTAACGAAAGCTCGCAAATAGCAGACTAGCGAGAACGAGGCTGGTTTCAGACCTGGACGTGGCTGTATAGACCACATCTTCAAACTAAGACAGGTCCTGGAACACATTTAGGCATCCTACAATAGTTGTTTTCCTGGACCTTAAAGCGGCATTCGACTCTGTTAATCGTGAGGTTCTGTGGCAGTGTCTTTCATTGAAAGATGTGCCAAAGAAGTACATTAACCTTATACAAGCTCTCTACTCGAACACCGCTGGTCGAGTGAGAGCATATGACGAACTGTCACCGGAATTCTTCACTTCAAGTGGTGTCCGTCAGGGCTGTCCACTCTCTCCATTTCTGTTTAATTTTATCATAGACATGCTCCTAGAAATAAGCTTATCCTCGTCTGAATTTTCAGGAGTAGACCTTTTACCAGGTGGCTCGCTTATTGACTTAGAATATGCCGATGACATAGTCCTATTCGCTGAAGACCCTGACAAAATGTCACACCTCCCCTACCTCACGGATTTCCGTCTCCAGCGGTAAGGGTGCCCACTAAGGGCCTTCAAGAACGGAGCTAATCCTCAAAATACTTTTCATAAAAAGGCCGTGCGTGACCGGCCTCAAGCAGTCGTCCCTTGGACTCTGCGGTCACGCTCCCAGGTCTCCAAGACCAACACTAATCTACCTTCTTTTTCAGGTCCCTCAAGAAACAACCTTCCATGGTGTGGGCAGCCGGGAAGTGACAACCGCCCTTATACCCGTAACAGCACGAGACACCAATCTGGTCGAAATCAAATCCTTCCTACACCCACACATACCTCTCTTCTCTCCACAACTAACTCTACTCACATTCCCTTATCTGACTGCACCGCTAATGCAAACGATGCGAGTTCACGAAACGTCATTCCTGGTCTTTAGACCTTGAATGACATGGCTCAA